AATTTGCCATGAGGGGCAGGCAGTTTACACCAGTGCACAATGGCTCTGCAGCTTGCAATCTCTGCTGGTCTGCACACCATGGGAGGACTTCTCCCTTGGATTTTCGTGCTTCCCCTGCCTTTCTTTGGACACAATACTGGACATGCAACTGGTACTTTTATCTTTCCACACACTGGCAGTGAATGAGAAAGAGTGAATTTAGGAGGCAGCAGGTGGATAATTTTCATCCTGATTAGCTTTATGAGTAAGTCATTATTTTTTCTCCTTTTGAAATTTGTTTCTGAGTGATTACTTACCTGCTTGTTCTGTCTTCCCCTTGCTTCTCTTAACTCTTCAGGACTTCAGGATGCTTTTGACAGTGACTGGGAAACTGGGAAGATCACTTACAACAACTATAAAAATGGATCTGATGATGCTGTTTTGGCTTACAAACTCCTGGTACAAACAGGCAACCGTGCAAAGCCCATTGACATCAGCCAGGTAGTGTTTCAGCGTCCATGCTGGTTTACACAGCAATATACAAGTCATCAGGAGTGGGGGGAGGTGCAAAGAACATGTTGTAGTGTCTTTTTTTTCCAACTTGAGATTCTGAATGTCTGAGTAACACCTTACTTGCATGACCTCCCTGACTTTGCTGAAGTTACTCGTTTGCTGCAGTCTGGCCTGTGTTGTGAAGTGTTGAAAATCAACATTGGGAATGCCAGTCCTTGATTATTACTGGTTGGTGTGCTCCTGTGTGAGGCACACTCAGTTTCCATTGAATTGCTGTGAAAAATGCTTCCATGCATCTGTAGGTAGATGGAGTCCTATGCCAGACATTTGCAATTATTACGTTTGTTCCTACTGGCTTAAGCAAAACATACATTTAAAAACCATGTTGAGGAGTGATAGAGGATGGAGACTGAAATCATTACATGCAGTATCATATTCTATTGGCATCATCACTAAATGCATCTAAACTGTTACAGAACTAAGAGTGGCAGTTGTTAGAGTTGCCTAAATAAAATGTGCCTAGGTCACCACAGCATATGACTGTGTTTGCTGTAGCCGTTGGTAGATGGAAATACATTAGATGGGACTAAAATTAGATTTCAAACCTTGAGGAAGAAATTCTGCAATAACCTAACTTCTCACTGAGAGTCGTCATTGACTCACACTGCTTTGAGGCAGAAAAATAGTCTTTCTAATGAGCTTCTTGGCAGATCTGCTTATTGTCTTCCTTTTTTCTCTCTGGCATTAAAGGGGACAGATTTATGGAGTACCTTGTTCAAAGTTACCATGGTGTGTGAAACACACTGCTGTATAGCAACATGCAACATGCTGTCAGGTCTGAATGAAGCTTCAGCTATGAATTAGGCAAAGAAAGGGAGTTGAAGAGAAAACCTTCAGTGAGGTTTTGTTTAGCAGAGTGTACCAGGTATGCTGTGGAACAAATGCAATTGGACTGCAGCTGCTGATATAATTTCCTGTGCCTGGGAGGGAGAAAAGTGTGGTGCACCCACAGGGGCTGAGCGCTGTACTGTGCAGTTCCAGAGACAGCTTGAAGACATACAGTTGTTGCATATCCTGTGGACTAATTGAATCCAGATCCTTGGAATCCAACTTTTTTTTTTTTTTAACTGCTGTCACTGTTGTTTTTCATTTCATTAAAAAGACCTGGAACTGGAGCTGAGCCAGAATTTTAAATAAACAAAACAAAAACCCCCAGTAATACTTTTCACCCGTGGAGTCCTCTGTCAGAGCTCTAGCTGTCCAGGATTTGGCTACAGAACCCTGGAAGTGTACCACTGCTGTTACTCCACAGATGCATTTGCCCACAGTGACCCAAATAACACAGGGCACTCATCTGCTTTCTTGACGCTGGGCATTTTCTGAATACATAGGTCATAGGAGGCAAGTGTTAGCAAAATTTATACAGATGTTGTTTTATTTTTATAGCTCTCCTCCATTTACTGGGTGGCATTTCCTTCAGTGTTAACAACAGAGGTTAACTGCACACAGACATGTATAGGGACTCTTGCCAGGTTTTCTTTCCGTGTCTTTAAATATGTTTCTCCAACTTGGTTGTTTTTCACTCTTGGCTGCAGTCTTTCAGAATTTGTATTTAATTGGTTGAGTCTATTCTGGAACCATCTGCTGATTTAGTGGTTATTGTAAATATTATATGAGTACTAATTTATAAATAACCACTGTCACTGTAATTTTTTAAAGGTTTTGTTTTCATTGTGAAACAATAGTTTACTGATAAGTCGCTTCAAGTGAAGACTCATGCTCTCTTCCTTTCCCCCTCCTATACGTGTGCTGCATCTCCAGGCCATTTGCTTGAAAGCATTAAGGCAAGAGCCCCGAAAGCAAAACTCATTCTGAAAGACCTCTAATTTTTTTTTCCATTTTGCAGTTGACTAAACAGCGTCTGGTGGATGCAGATGGAATCATTAACCCAAATGCTTTCTACATCTACCTGACAGCCTGGGTTAGCAATGACCCTGTGGCCTATGCTGCCTCGCAGGCCAACATCCGCCCTCACCGCCCGGAGTGGGTCCATGACAAAGCAGACTACATGCCAGAAACACGGCTGAGAAGTAAGTAGCATTTCATCTTAAGGTCTTTCAGTTTAAGTGAGTGCCCCCACTCCTTCCTTCAAGCACTAGTAACTCTGCAAGTGGCACAGGACTCAGAAGTGTGAGCAGGACAATACATTGAGTTACTCCATAGTCTTAGGAGATCCAAGCACCAATGCAACTGTGCAGGGCTTTATCATGTTGAAAAACAGAACAGTTTAAAGCTCTAAATATTTATGGTAAGCGTTGCTTTTTTAGTGTACCCTGATAGTTCTGTCTGTGAGAGAAATACGGAGATTGCATGAAACTCCTGCTTAAGTCATTCTGAAATTTCATCACTGAGATTCTATCATGTTTGCCCTCCATTCTTAATACCTATGAGATGTTTATCAAGGTAACTCATATGCTAAGCTACCAACACTGATATGGTACAAGAGCTGCTTAATTATGGGAGAAGTCCCACTTCACACCATTCAGTGTTTTCCTGAGCACTGGTACCAGTTCTCCTTGTTCTGCCTCAGCTTTCAGTTTATTGGGAAGATTGCTAGTTGGACACGAGTGGCGATGGCGAGAGGGTGTATAGGGGAGGACTGGTGTGCTTGGAAATGTGGTTGGATAACCAGCTAGCCATGCTTCAGTGTATCTGAATGCTAGAGCTTTGTGGCAGTCAGCCAACTCTTAATGAAAATTTATAGTTGAGATTATAATAGGGCAAATCATGTTAAGCAAGTCGACTGGATGACCCTGCAGGGTCTGGAACACACAGCGACAGTAACCAAATGTGTGTTGTAGAAGCTCTTTTTTAACCTTGTGATAGAGTAGACTTTGAATTGCATTCAAAAAGAAGTATGGAGAGTGTTGGTTTCTCAAATTACTAAAGGATTAAAAGTTATGTATGTCCTCAGTAAACTATTACTTATATATTAGGTTTTTCCCCCCCAGTAATTTCCATCAGTAACAAAACATGGAGTTTCTCAAAAAAAACCAACCTGAACGAGCCCCGTTTTTCTCTAGTTTTGTGTCAGTGGACCTCAGTTAATCTCAGGGAAATGGCCTGTGATTTCAAAGAAACTGCACTGGCATAAATGAGGATCATTTGGTTAAAATGTTTAAATTATGTGATCTTCTACTTTATATTGCAGTTAGGGATTTTTGACCAGGTATTCAATAAAAACCACTATAACACCAATGAGGATTAAATACATGTATTGAAAGTTATGTGTTAAATTATATATAATTGTTTGGGGAGTTGATGTAGGCTGTGCTCATCCCGTTGCACTGCATGATAAAATATAATAATCTTGTGTACTGCTTCCACTGTCTGTTTATTGGGGAGTTTGTAAAATGCCCCTCCTTCCAATGCAGTAAAATTTAAATTCACCACCTTTAAGCCTTTTCCTGTGGAGAACAAAGTACTTTGTTCACTGTGCTTTCTGTGTATCTTCTTCCCAAACACACATTTTAACACTGCTGTCATTTTCCTAGTTCCAGCAGCTGAGCCCATAGAATATGCTCAGTTTCCTTTCTACCTCAATGGATTGCGTGAAACTTCTGACTTCGTGGAGGCTATTGAGAAAGTGAGAGCTATCTGTAGCAACTACACCAGCCTGGGGATAGCAAGCTACCCGAATGGTTACCCCTTTCTGTTTTGGGAGCAGTACATTGGACTTCGTCACTGGCTGCTCTTATCCATTAGTGTGGTTTTGGCTTGCACGTTTCTGGTGTGTGCCCTCTTCCTCCTAAACCCCTGGACAGCTGGGATCATTGTAAGTTTATTATAAGGGTCTTTGTTGAAGTCAAATTCCTTTCAGCATAGCTCTTGCTGTAGTCGGGAAGGTTTTGTTTATGTCTGGGCCTCTGGTGGAGTATGTATATTGCATCATTCATTATATATTTTTTCAACTTGAGGGGGTAGGGTTCATGCTAAAGGTACAAACCTTAATAACCTTAATCTTCTGGCCACCTTTTTTGCAGCTTTAAAGGTTTCTTATAAAGATAACAAACTCTTGCCCTTGCTCAGATGCACATGAACATAAGAAAGACACAAAGGAAAATTAGGAGGTTTATGAAGTTAATTTCTAATTATATATTCCTTCTCCCCTTTTGTCAGACATATTTATTTTTCAAGGCAGTTGCTTGTGACTTAACTTGCCTGTAAATTTTCCCACTGATTTCTGCATGCAGTCTTTCTGGAAAAAACCTGAAATGGTTATGTTGCACGGT